AGTCTTATTTAACTACTGTGTCACCTCGTCAGTGAACACGAAGACACGATTGTTTTGGGAGACTTTGATTTGCATATTGATTGGTCCAAGCTCATGGCTTTTGACAGAACTTCAACTATGTTCCTTGAATTTTTTCCAATGCAGGGTTCAGGCAACATGTGGAAGTTGCTACCCGTGGCTCGAATGTGCTCGATCTCGTGTTCTCAACCTCTTCTATCATTTCGGACACACGTATTATGCCTCCCTCTGCAACCTCTGATCATCGAACAGTATGTTTCTTGGTGACTTGGCCAGTTTCACTCCCAGCATTTTTGCCCACTCCTGACTTTCGCAACGCCGTTTTCTTTTCTCTTAACAGCTATCTTAGCTCTATAAACTGGCTGAATTTAGTTGATTATTACGAATTAGTTGACGATGTGTATTACAGATTTTGCTTGATTATGTATGATGGTTTCTCGAGATTTATGCCATTCAGAGCGATGATCACCGCCATTTTGCCTACCCTAAACATGTACAAAATTTGCTGGCACAAAAAGAACGCTTATTCAGTATTCTGAGTGAACCATTGTCCAATCCCCTGTACAAAAAAGTGTGCAGAGATCTTGATTTTCATTTAGAGAAGTTACATCGTCATACGAGCAAAGACTTGCTGCGAAAGCTTCTTCCAAGTCCTTTTTCCAATACACCAATCAAAAATCAAAGCCCAGCCGTTGTCTTCCTACCGTAATTGACCAGGAAGGATATTCATGTGTAACTGACGATGAGAAAGCACACGCATTAGCGTCCTATTTCGCTAGTGTCTTTAATCCTGTTGATCATAGCAATAGTATAGAAAGTGACATGCCGACTTTCGCTTCCACTCGCCATCTGTCAGATAGCTGTTCCCGTGCCTCCGAGATCCTTAAAGTTTTGAACAAATTGAGGCCTTCTTGCTCTGAGACCTATGATGATGCCACAGATTGTGTTCAAAAAATGTGCCCCCCCCCCATCTCTGTGTACACTGCACACCTCTTGCCCACATTTTCAACATATCCATGTTGTTGGGTGAGGTACCGCACATTTGGAAAGAGTCACTGATCACCGCAATTCCAAAAGTGCCTAACGCCCGTTAACTAGCAGACTTCCGCCCCATTAGTTTGATTCCAACGGCTGTGAAAGTTATGGAAAAGGTTTTGCGCGATAAACTGCTTTCATGGCTTGCTAAGATTAAAGTGATCCCAATCAATCAGCAGGCTTTATGGCAGGTTCATCAACTGCCACAAATCTGGTGATTCTACTTACAACTGGAATTTAGCCTTCAACAGAGGTAAGTCTGTGGATATGATCTATGTGGACCTGTCCAAGGCATTTGATAAGGTCGATCACGCAATACTTTTGCAAACGTTAGAGCGACTCGGATTAGGAGGTAATCTTTTGAAGTGGCTTAGATTCTATGAGTAACAGAGGCATGATGGTCAAAGTGGGATATCATTTCTCAGATCGACAAGCATGCATGTGGGTGGTGTTCCACAAGGTGGCGTCCTTTCTTCGTTACTTTTCTTGATTTATACCGCCGAGCTTCCGTCAATCTTGATCACATCCGTTCATGTTCATGTACAGATGTGCGCGGATGACATCAAGATTTACGGATGCTACGATAAACAGAAGCGATTTGAGGTCCCAGCGATAAAGAACTCATTTAAAATTTGTTGCGTTGGGCAGTTGCTTCTGGAATTCCTCTCAACTTGGATAAATGCCTTGTCATGCATTTCGGTGATAAGGAAAATCCGATTTATGAGATAAATGGAAAGACGCTAAAGAACTGTTTCACTGCTAAAGATTTGGGCATTCTGATTGATGCTGACCTCTGTTTCTCTAATCGCATAGACAAATTGGTAAGCAAAGCGTACTCGGCTTTATTCACAATCCTTCGGACTATACACATAGATAACCCCTTTGTTCTGAAACGCCTTTACAAGTCCTACGTGCTACCGCATTTAGAATATTGCTCTATAGTTTGAAATCCTTTTTGAAAAATAACATCTCAAAACTAGAAAAAGTCCAGCAGACATTTACTCATATTTTATTCCTAAGATGCCGCAAAAGCATAAGTTATTCCAAAATACCAAGATATGAAAGTCGCCTGAAACATTTAGCAATGAAAACCTTAGAACACAGACGTATGTACCACGATCTCGTTTTGCATTTCGACTCTTGCGGAAAGAACTCAGGCTGAATGCAAGTAAGTACTGGATATTTCGACATACTGCTAGAGCGGGTATTGTCAACATTCATTATCCTCGTATCATTAGAAAGCGTTTTTCGCGTGTTTTTAATAGTTTCTTTCATAGAACGTTCAGGTGGCTTGACCGATTACCTCCTCATGTGCTCTCTGCGCAAAACGTATCTTCTTTTAAGCGTAGCCTTAGGAGTGTCGATCTTATGCAAGTAAATGATTCTTTTTGATTACGGAGACTTCTCGTGCTGTTGCTTTTTTTTACAGGAAACTTCTTCATACTTTTACTGTTTTGCGTTTCGCTGCATTTGCGCCGAGTGTTCTTGATATCATCATATGAGACTGATTTTACTAAATAATCTTTTGCTGTTTTTGCGATGTTACTCACCAACTTG